CCCGGTCCGTGCGGGCGTTGCTAGGAGACGGGCGGCGGCAGCCCCGCTCCCCCCGGGCCCGCTGCCCCCGGACGGTGTTTGTGCAGGGGGCGGGGTGCCCCCGCCCTGCGTGGCGCCGCCGCCCCGGGCTCGCGCTGCCCTTGACCCCGCGCGGGCAGCCGGGACCCCGCGCAGCGCTGTGGGGCTGGCGCTGCCACCGCCGCCGTCTCCATGGGCGTGAGTGTCCTGGGGCCTCCGCTGCCCGGCCTGTGGCRGCGGCCGCTGCTTGCCAGGGCTGGCGGTGCCAAGCCGGAGCGCTCGGSAACTTGAGCTTGGTGCAGGGAGAAGGGGAAGCTGCGGGGAGGATGCAGAGCTGGGGGGGAGATGGCACCGCGGTGGGGGGACGTGGCACCGTGGGGCTMACCCGGACTGCGGGTTCCCGGCGCAGACACGAGGGTGCGAGCGGGTGACGCTTGGGGGCAATGGGTGGCGGTGGCAGGGAGCTCTGCGCGGTGCCCCCCTTGCCGTGCCCGCCGGCAGCGCCGCGGTGCCGGGCGAGCACAGCCCTGCCAGCCGCCGCTCTGCGCCCTCGCTGCACACGTGGCACCGGCGCCAGGGCCCCCGGCCCTCGGGGGCAGAAGCGGCACCGCGGCCCTCGGGGGCACCCGCCGCCCTGCACCACGAGCCGCGGCTTCTCCTTGGGGGGCGAGCGGCGGATGATGAAACCRCCGCGAAATCCCTCCCGGCGGCACCGGGGCTGCTGGCGAGAGCCCCCGGGAGCCCCCGCTCCCCCCGTGCCGCCGCCTCCCCATAGTAACGCGGCGGCGGGGCTGGCCACCGGCTCCCTGCGGAGCTCCGGGGCCGAGGCCGGGCCGCTCGCGGCACCCCCGACCCCGCTGCGGCGCTGCCCCTCGGCGCGGGCCCGGCCGGTGCCGGGGGGGCCGGAGCGGCGCGAGGGAAAATGAAAGCAGGTGATGCGGAAGGAGAAGTAGGTCAGGCGAGCGCTGGCCTCTCCCGGCAGGCTCGGCTGCCGCGCGCGCCCCGCGGCACCGCGCCGGGCCCATGGGCAGCGCCCGGTGAGTGGGGCCCCCCTGGGGGCGGCTCCGTGGGGGCCGGCTGCTCCGGGGCGGGTGGGGGGCATGGGGAGAATCGGGGGGTCCTGGGAGGTGGCACCGTGCGGGGCACGTCCTGTGCTGGCATCCCGCTGCGAGGGTTCCTGCGGGCGAGGGGCGGCTACGTGGAGACGGCCTGGGCGCCCTTCCTGCCGCCGGGGGCTCCGGGGGGATTAGAGGCGCGCGGCCCTGCCGGGATCATCCGTGGGCAGCGGGCAGCTGCCGTGGGGGCGGAAGCCGGGCTATTTCGGTGGGCGGCGGGGGGGCGCGGGCTGTCCTTGCCCCGTGACCCCCGGGGGCGCTGGCTGTGCTGCGCCAGCTCTGTTCCCGGGATGCTCCGCGGCYGGTCGGACACCGGGATTCGGCCTCCTGTGATTCCTATGGGTGGGGGCAGCCGGGGGCACTGGGACGTGCGTGGGATGTGTCCTGCCCGGGCGCCCGCGGCGCTGGGGGGCCGTCGGCTCTGCCCTCGCCCGTTTCCTTCCCTTTTCCCCCACCAGGCTCCGTTTCGGCAACCCCTTCCTTCCTCCCCGCTGCCGCCCGTGCCCCCCGGTGCGGGGCAGCCGCTCGGCACAGCCTGGCACACGGTGACCCCCGGAGCGCGTCCCCGCCGGCACGCGGGCGGGGGGCAGCGCTGCCGGGATGCCCGGCAGCCGGGATGCCCGGGAGCCGTCCCCGGGCAGCGGGGCGGTTGCAACAGCCCCCGGGGTGGGGGGACCGGGTGAGTCACGGCGGCGGGGCCCGGCCAGCGGCGCGAGCCCTGAGTCAGGGCTGCGTGCCCGCGCGCGCCCCTCCCTGCCCGCCTCGCCCGCCTTATCTGCGCCCTTAGCACCTGGCACACCTGGGCTGGGGGGGCTGGSGCCAGCCCCTCCTTTATGGGGAGCAAAGGGCAGGCCGGGAAGCCGGGGGGGGGATTGGCGGGCAGGTGCCGCGCTCGCTCCGTGGTGCCGGGCATGGCGGTGCCCGCCCTGCGCTCCGGCTCTTGCACAAGGTGCCCGCGCTCTTTCCGCAGCTGCAACGGGGGCCCGTGTCCCTGCCATGTCCCTGTGTGGCCAAGCGGGCCCCCTGCTCCCTGCCTTGGTGCCCTGTCATGGGCGGCTGCTGGTGCCACCCACGAGGCCTGGGCTGCTCCCGGGGTTGCTAATTGCTGGGGGTCRTTGCCCAGGAGCGGGGGATAACGAGGGCCTGGGCGCAGCGGGTGCTGCGGCGGG